ACACACACACACACACACACACACACACACACACACACACACACACACACACACACACAGAGAGAGACGAGTATATTCAAATACATACTCTGCATATTTAATTGTTTATTGTTATTATTCTCGTTTTATTTTTTACATACGCGGGGATGTGCTTTTCGATTACAAAAAAAAGTAATAAACAAATTGTGAAAGCGACATGATTTCGCCAATCGATGAAATACAGTTTACAGCGATAAGGAAATTTTATTGTCGCCGCTTATGATAAGAAAGCATTCATTATCGGAAATTTTCAATGTTTGAAACAACAAAAATGATTAAAAGCTATTAAAAGTTTTAAGATTTGATTTTTTTTTTAAATTAATACGTAGTATTGTAAAAAACAATTCTAAACGGGACTAATAAGATGAATTCGTCAACTGGCGAAAAAAACCCGTCGATATGTCTGTATACTGTTCGCCGTGAAATTTAAGAGTCTCTTTAGGCGCGCAATAATACGTGGCGAGAAAATTTAATACAGTATGACAGATGGCATGACGAAGATAGCGTGAAGAAGCGTTTCGATACGAGATGACTCTGATTCCAGCTACAAACCGTGGCACATTCTCCTGCGAAAGTAATTAGGAGATTCCCTGATATTTAGCAAATCTCTAAGCTGATTAATGAAAATAGGAATGACGTCCCATTATTTTGTGTGAAAACTCTGAAATTTTTATATGCAAAACCATCGAGGATTTCCTTTTTTGAAAGTTCTTTAAAAGTTAGTTAATGATTAAATTGGTAAAATTTATCATACGACGTAAGATAAACATCCCGAGTGACTGGACACGTATCTATGTCCGGATACTTACACAAAATTTATTATTATTAATCTCAAATGTTTTTTTTTAAATATAATATTATAATTTAATTGTAATTTTTAAATATAACTAAATTATAATATTGTAATAAAAAGAGCATTTGAGATTAATAATAATAAATCATGTGTAAACTGTCCGGTTATTTTGGGACATTTACCTTATACGATAAATCATTAATTTAATCATTAAACAAAATCTGATAATTTCTTTATCGGAAAAATTATAAATAGAAACCGAATTATATACTGCAAAGACTCACCCTAATTGCGACGAACTTCAAAAATCGGTTGATCTTGTTCTGAAAGGAATAAAAGGAAGATAGATTTTGTTTTAATAATATTAACGGCGAATACAAAAAGATCAATTATACCTACGTTTGCGCGACTCGATTTACGCCGAAGTTATAACATCGATATTATAAAATTGGCCACAGTTATTTCATTCTTCAGAAGAATAACTATAAGTGGTCAGTTTCATAACATCGACATTATAACTTCGGTGTAAACGTCTATATCATTATAATCTGTGTACAGATACAATATATCTGGACACATTCTTTTTTTTTCTTTTCTAAAGATACAAAGTATAATGTAAAAAATAATGTTTCATAAATTTGCGCGCGCGTACGTGTGCATGTATGTGTATGTTCATGCGTGGGTGCGTATATGTACAAATACCAGGTCTACAAGTATGAAATGACGATTTGAGAAACAGATGGCGCACCAATACAGTGTGAAGTACAAAGATTTAACATTATATTGTACCATTTTATTGTACCATCAACAAATATCAAACGCGCAAAATGATTTGATTGAAAAGTGTTTGCATAGTATTGTTTGCATAGTATTGTGTTTAATAGACGAAATTTGTACCAAATAAGAAGCATTCGCAGACAGCACTAATTTTTTGTTTTCATTTGAAGAAAACTACTGCGGAATCATACCGATTACTTGGAGAAGCTTATGGTGAACATGCTCCATCGCAAAAAACATGTGAACGATGGTTTCAGCGTTTCAAAATTAGAGATTTAAATGTTGCAGACAAGGAACACAGAAAACCGCCCAAAAAAGTATGAAGACGTGGAATTGCAAGCATTGGATGAAAATGATTCACAAATACAAAAACAACTCGCAGAGCAATTGAGCGTTAGTCAACAAGCTGTTTCCAATCGCCTACGAGAGATGGGGAAGATTCAGAAAGTCGGCAGATGGGTGCCACATGAATTGAACGAGAGAGACAGATGGAGAGGCGCAAAAACACATGTGAAATTTTGTTCGAACGATACAGAAGAAAGTCATTCTTGCATCGTATCGTTACTGGGGATAAAAAGTGAATTTTTTTTGAGAATCCCAAGCACAAAAAATCATGGGTAGACCCAGACGCACCATCCACATCGACCGCAAAACCGAATCGCTTTAGCAGGAAGACGATGCTCTGTGTTTGGTGGGACCAGAAGGGTGTGGTCTATTATGAGCTATTGAAGCTTGGCGAAATGGTTAATACCAAACGCTATCAACAACATCGCTTTGAACCGTTCGCTGCTTAAAAAACGATCAGAATATTAAAAGAGGCAATACAAGGTCATTTTTCTCCATGACAATGCTCCATCACATACGGCAAAATCAGTTCGGGACACGTTGGAAGCACTCAGCTGGGAAGTTCTATCCCATGCGGCTCACCAGACTTGGCTCCTTCCGATTACCACTTGTTTGCATCGATGGGTCACGCACTTGCTGAGCAGCGCTTTGGTTCATACGAAGATGTGAAAAAATGGCTCGATGAATGATTCGCGGCAAAAGGAGAAGATTTTTACTGGCGTGGTATCCACAAATTGCCCGAAAGATGGGAAAAATGTGTAACTAGCAATGGAGCAAATGAATAAATCTCTTTTTATCATTCTTCCGAATTTAACGTGTTTTTTTTGGGAAAAAAATCGTCATTTCATACTTGTACACCTAGTATGACTCCCAAAATCATTAAATTATACACAGAATATTTTGGTTCACAAATGATGCAAAGATTCCAGCTAATGCTAAATATTCCTAAAATATTCGCAAAATATTCCTAAAATCCCAAAATAACGTTCCAAGAGTATTGCAGAATATTCCAAAATCGAATGTAAAAACAAAATTCAAATAATCATTAAATATTCCTTACGTATATCGTTACATATCAGAGAATGTTCCATATACATATATATTAAACAAAATTAATTAATAAAAAATAATAATTTTTTCAGAAATTCTATTATAGATTTTGAATTAACTTTTAAACAAAAAAACTTTTAAACAATAAAATTGTACTGTTAAAAACACACTTCAAGTATTTTCGCCTTAGAGCCCAATTTTGAAGACTTATTTTACAGGAAATTTTTTACTGAAATCCAATGAAATTAATTATTGCATTATTTAGGAATCTATTTCTGCACATACATGAGAAATTAATTCCTGATACTAAAAGCAAATGAAATTGGATAAACGTAAATTATAACCCAGTGGATGAAATAAGGGATAAAACTTACAAAAAACCCCTAAAAATGAATACAACTACATATAGCCCCAATGAAAATGTGTATATACAGAAGAGGATAACAGAAGTGTATATTTAATCCGTGTATATTGAAAAAACATTCCTTAAATACGAAAAAAATTATATGTAGAGCACGAGCGGGATCAAATCACGTGTCATTTTTGATTACAAAGTATGTAGTTACTTGTCGCCTCCACTTAGATGAAATAGTGTGCTTTTTTTCCATGTCATTCATATTTACGAGTTAATGCATCTCCATCGCAGCTCTCTGCATACTGCTTGCCCAATCAGAAATGATAAAAATGATAAAAAATCGATTCGATGTCGATTCCATTATCATTTCTGATTGCGAGTGAGTGATTTTCGTGATATACAGGGTGTCTCAGAAATAAGGAAGGAGCCGCGTTGCTGGGGCGTAGAATGGGTCAAGGGGAGTAAAAAAATCTGATATCATTTTGAGATATTCGCTGTAGTTTTTGAATTAAAAAAGAAAATAAGCTAATGCGCTACGATTTGCGCGACACGGCTTCATCGCACATGGCTTATACGTTTCCTTTTTTATCCTCAATACGGTTCCTACCTTATTTTTGAGACACCCTGTATATATACAAAAGGTATTCATACAATATTCTGAACACATATTCATTAATATTTGAATATTCTTTTACTGTTCCGGAATATTCGGCACATTGAGAATACAAATCGAACTTTTCATGAATAATTAGCGTTAACTGGGATCGTTCATGCTAATGTAAAATGTAATCATCAGATTTGACGGGGAAGAGGGGAGAAGAGTGAAACGCGTGCAAATTTCGTTTACGAGAGGAACGCGGAGATGCACTGTCGTGAGTGCAAATGGACATCGGGTTGAAGATAAGATGGTCGCGGTTGATATAAATCGGGGTTACTAGACGATACAGCAGCAAGATTTATTTGCGAGGGTCACGGTAGCTGCAATGCCCCGCTGCCTTTGTTGCTGTCGCATCTGCCTATACCACTGGTGATGGTGGTGACTTATCCTCGTGGGCTATTGGTTTTCCAGAGAGTAGTGACGTGATCGCTTCCAGAATCCCTTGAAAAAACTTTTCTTCTTGGGAGCGTCGCCGCTGTCTGCGCATCCTAGAAACAGAAAATACCCGTCCGGGATGAAAACATTTACAGTCAATTCTTAATCGGCATTATTCGAATGGTCGAGTCTGTCTTATGACATTTATAAAACCCATTATATTTGTGTGCCAAATGTTTCTACGCTTGCATACATTTCCTTTTTTAAATGATATAGATTTTCGCATTTATATACTCATTGAGTTATATAAAGTCATTCACTATAAAGACATCTCTATATACGATCGAAAAAAGTAAGGTAGAAAATGAATCTTATTATTGAAAATAATAATTTTAAAAATTAAGAAATGAAATAACACTTTTTTAGACATTAGCAACTATTATCAAAACATGTATAAAAAGATAAAAGTAATATTATTTTCTTAATGGAAATAAAATTAAACTTCGATAGGATCGTTGTTTTATCAATTTACATACGTACAATTTATAATACATACAATTTACGAAATATTGATACATACTACTATATCAATATTACACTCTTACATAACATGAATTTTCGTGCAATTTTTTCTCCTATACGTATTAAAACTTCTATCATTTATTTCTAAAAGGATAGTATTACTCTTCCATGTAATCCCTATCCCGAACTAAAGTTCATGACATACGAAAATGTAAGACGCCGCGTAAGCAGTAAGCGAATTAGTCAATCACAATAAAGAATGTAAGATTATTGCTTTATGTTCTTTATTGTGCTTAGTCAATTCGCTTATTGCTTATGCCTTACGTTTTTTTATGTGTTTTTGGCTGAAGTTTATTTCATACGTACAAAATATAACATTCTTATAAATTTAAAACAAATGTGTAGTTACGAATCGATGCTAGAAATTGGTAATAAGACTATATAATTTTCTAATTTTTTTTCATACACAATTATTAGTTAGGATCAGGGTATGTGCTAAACATAATGTAATATATATGATTTTTATACGTATAATAGCGTATGTTTATACACTGAAAAAAAATATAGTCAATTTTAATAAATATTTAGTTTTAATAAATATTTAGTTGAATACTGTCAACTGAATATTTATTAAATATAAAGATATATTTATTTGATACAAGAAATGTTAATTTGATTTAACAATCATTTTTTTTATTGAACAAATATTTATTTACTATAAGTAAATGTTTAATTGGCAGTATTAAACTAAGACAAAGAATTGAAATTTACGAAAGTTGGAACAACCTAGCTTAAGAGTAAAAAACTGATAATATAGTGTTATAAATTTAATAATTTATTGATTTTGTATAGATATGTTTAAAACTTAATAATACTCGATTTTTATTTAAAACTAATAAATTTTAATGTAATTTTAATGTTATAGTCCGAGTTAGATTATCAATGGAGATGATAAATGTAGAGAAAAATATTGTAATTTTGCGGCAATATATAATAAGATATTATAGCATTACATATTATAGCAAGTATGCATCGTTATTTATGGAGCATTTATATAATAAAAAATCAGGAATTTAACAAAATATATTAATCAAACATTTATTATTAATAATTGCAAATTTAATTAATTGTCGATAATTGTACTCTGTATTTTATTTATATTTTATTCTTCGTTTCATCTATAAATATATATTGTATTTTTATTATATATTTTTTTATTATATATTTTATTATATATTTTTCATGTGTGTGTTCGTCAATGATTATCTCTATCCAATAAATCTTCTATTCTAAAGGTGCTTTTTCATGCTGACGCTCGATGCTCATTTTCGGTATCAAAATAGGTTATATAATCAAAATTGACCGATGATGTGAATGATGTGTGAATGATGTGTGAATCGAGAATGTAAACTAACGGGACACTCCCTAACTTCGATATTATTAGGACAATCAAAGAAAAACTTACGTTTACATGTTATACAATTTTATTCCAAAAATATAAAAAAAGTAATTCTACGGCAATGATATTTCTCTTGAAATTATATAATTATAGATACAATAATATGTTATATAATTTTACAAAAAAATTCTTCATTTTATATTAGATAACGAAATAATTAAATTTTAGCTTAAGCGATGGAATCTTTCTTAATTATATCGACAGTTTTAATTTGTATTGATTATCTTGATATAAAGATACATTAATATAATATATCGCAAATGTAGGTGTTCCAATTTCAGTTCCAAGTTACCTGCATTCAAGTCATCTACATTTGCGATACTTTGTATTGAGATGTACATAAACGTTTTCATTATCTTATTTTTTCATTACGACTGTGATGTATATATTATGATACAATATACAAGACAATTCCTCAAAATCTTACTTGTCTTGTATCTTGAATCATTGATGAAATTTCATATATAGAAGGCTTCAAAATGTTTCACTATATGCTTATATTTTACTCTTTGTAGAAGCATATTGGAGCATGTTGGAGCATGTGCGACGCGAATAAATCCTTTAATATATAAAATAACTATAAAAGCAACTATTAAATCAGTTACTAATTACTAAAAAACATAATTAAGTTAAGGTAGTAAAAAAAGTAACTAACTGTAATTTCATTGCAAGTTGCTTCCCAACCCTATATATAATGTATAATTTTGTTTCTTTATCTGATTGATATACACGACTTATTTTACTTTTAACTCTATTTTGATTTTTGACACAGACCGATTTTTTTTATTTATTATTTATTCTTATTTCTTATTAATTCTCTTGGATCACTTGATTAACGGAATTATATTATTTTATTTTTTGTTATCTGCTTCTCTGACAAAAAGAGAGTCAATTTCCTGAATCTTACTGTAATTAATGTTGGAAATTTTTATTATTTTATTGTATCGTTTTACAGAACATAAATTTTGTATCGATTCTCTGTTTGTTGTCAACTGACTTTCCAACTAAGTATCATTTGATTTTAAATAACTGAGTGGATTTTAAATAACTAAGTGGATTTACCTGATTGCTGATTTGAATTTATTACTGTATATCGAAGATAGCCCGAAAAAAAGTCGAAATGTCTATGAAATAAACTTGGTATTTTTAAACAAAACTATTACGCATTCTTTATCGCTATAACTCTCATTAGTCCTCGTTTGTAATTTTTGTTGACAATTTTGAGAGATTTCACATTTCAAATGATTCTATAATTGTGACTTAGAAACTTTTTCGAATTTATGATTTTTTTCTAAATTTTTCTAAATATTCTGGAAATTGAAATAGGAATTGACCCACGATCGAGATCCACTCTTTTTGTTTCTTGATATTAAAAGGTAATGTCAAGAAACAAAGAGAAAAAGAGGAGAGAAAATAATAGAAAATGATATATTGGAGCGGCCAATAAACGGTCGAGGGATGAAAGGAAAGAAGGAAGGAAGGAAGGAAGATAGGGCCTTGTTGTGGAAGAGAGCCAGTGCGTGTGGATCAATACCGATAGTGTATATCCATAGGACGTAGAAACGCAGGCTCTTGGGTGTGTCCGATCTCTCGCGCAGTATCCCGAGTGTTTGTCGTGCGCGTGTGATTCCCTATTCTCGCACGGCTTTTCCGAGTCCCGTTCCTTATTCTCACTTATCCGTGATCGATTCCTTCAAAAGGAACTTCAGTGCACATTAAATCCTGACATGAACTCTCAATGAAGTCTCTGCTTCATTCACTCACGTGTCATTCTCGCGTAGCTATCAGCTGATGGAGAGGACGCTTTGCGTCCTAAATGCGGAAAAATCTACTATTTTAAGGCTAGTATTTATAATTGATTTTTATACTTAAGTCTGTCTTAAGTACAATTTTAAGATACCATGATCCTATAAGAGGGACATAGCATCTTAAGACATTATTTAAGACTTTACTTAAATTCTTGAATAAGAATGGACTCTGAATATCGATCTATGATTTTGTTTCAGAAAATTGCAAGACTCTTATTGAGAACAGAAAATACGAACTTCTTGATTCAGTCGAATGAAAGTAATTTTGGAATCGAATTAAATCGAATCGAAATTTGTTATTAGTAAATTTGTAAAGAGTGCTACGAAACTTATAATATCAATTCTTTATTTATAATATAATAATACGAAAGTAGTGATAAAATGAAATCCCAGACATCGATTATCAAAAGATAATCAAGAATAACTGCATAGACGATTACTGTTTTCGAAAATTTACGCTTAAAAATACATTATTTAAATTGTTTTTTTTTTAGTAATAAATTGCTCATTAGCGGATTAAGAATTATATAATGTCAGAAATATTGAACTAATTATTCTTTTTTATTTTTTAAAATTATGTTTAGAACATGTATACATACAGAAATAAGAGACTATTCCATAAAATTCAAATTTAATTTTTAATTTTGATATTTGTATTTTTAAAAATTTTGGATAGTTAATTTTTGAACACATTTTCATGTTCAAAAACTTAATAATAAAATTTTTACAATATGAGAATCTCATCCTTGTATGTAGACCTAAACGCAGTTATATAGAATGCCTTACTATTATTGGATGCGTTCCAAGCAGGTCAAACTATTAATATTTTCTTATTTGAAAATCCTCGCGTTTATGCGCCATCCAAGAGTAATGGATAAAAAAATTTTAGAAAATTTTTTAACATTCAGAAAGTGTCGAATTTTAAGTTAATTCGGAATTAACTCAATACAATTTACATTACACTTATTTAAAAGTGCAAATAAAAAGGTCCTACAAATTCTACTCTCTGGAATGTTATTATCGTTATCTGATCTATCGCAGGTTATCGATAAGGTATGTCAAGTATACAGGAAACACATTAATTTTATCTATATTCAATGTGAGAAAATAGATATGTGAAAGAAAAATTACATAAAGATTATCAATTTTTTAAATGGAACTCTATATATTTCATTGCATATTCTTATAGCTTACCTCGAGAACTTTCCAAAATACTACAATAAAATTTTTTCATTTATATTTTATATTAGAATAATAATAGATATATAAATCCTTAAAGAGAGAGATTTTCCAACAATTTTAATAAACAATAATTTTTATTTAC